ATTAGGTGTATATATATATATATATATTGTTGTGTACAAAGTTGACAAACGCGGGGCGGCGGCGCTCCGGGAATACACTGTTTTATTATTTCCGGCTAAACCCGGGATCGACCTACTTACGGGCTGGCTCGGGTATAAAAGTCGTATTTCTAGAAAATGCCGCTACAATGAAAACACTACTGAAAATAAAAGTACATTTCATAATATTATTGTAATACTGTGTACCCACAACGAAACGCTAGAATGGTAAAAAAAGTCAAAAAGTTCTAATCCAACAACAGCTGTGCACCTATATAAATATAAACGACTCGGGAAATGTCTCGAGAAAAATTAACTGCACTTGTCTTCACTTGACTACTTGGCTGATGTGTTGTTCGACATATTTTGAGTTGTACACGCTTAGGAAAACAATCTGTTTTCAAACACCATTTTGTTCGCTCGTGTTCAATATAAACGCTTTTTGCCAATTATTTGACATTAATAATAAATTCTTAATCAAATTTAAGACGGGCCAAACTTTAGTGTGTACACGTGGGTTATCAATACAGAAGGAAACCGTTTCAAACTGTACAAGGACATTGTAGATTTCCGTATAGTATAGACCGTTCATGTAAGTAACTTAATAAACAAAAAAAAAAAATACAACATTATGTCACATTAATATTGTCAATCTACTGCAAATAACAACGGTTTGTGTATACTTTGAATACAGTAATAAAAATTTGATCGTGTCAAACCGGCAATCGAGTGCCAAATTAAAATTAATTGCTGTATTTTCGTTTCAAAAAAAATACAACAATTAATATAATAATATATAATAATTATAGATATTATCTTAAATCGTTCCGGAGTGTGACACCACTGAAAATATGAAACTCGTGTCGACAAGTGTTATGAATTAAGCACAAACTATTATTCCAATATTATACTTTTTATGGGTTTTATCGTATTTCTTTTTCAAATTTCTCTTTTGTGTTCAAAGCATAGCTGTCGCTATATTTCAATCAATACTATTGCACGCATAGAGCTAAATTAACGCCGCCTGTTTAATTGTACTCAAGTTTTAAAGGAAAGCAAAAAAAAAACAGTTTCAATAATACATCACAACCGTGTAAGCATTATTCGACTTTAGCGTTATCTGTTGATTGTACTGTAAACCTAAGTCGATTGCCCGCTAAATTTGAAATAAAACAGTGAAGCCAACTTGATTTGGCCAAAAGCACGACATGAAACGAGGTGTTGCATCTTAACGAAAATGATTCGAGGAAAATTGTGTTCTCAGGGCGGTAACTAATCATTTAAAATGTAATTATTCGGCAATTATGAATTCACATGAAATTTAAATGCATTTTCCAAGACCTTGGGTAGACCCGGCTGCCTATGGTATATTATACAACACGATAATAATATAATCATGTTAGAACGCCATTGCACAGTCCCTGGTGATCCTGTTGTCCTAGATTCGCCGGCCACTGCCCACTAGTTATATTATTATTATGGGAGTAATAAACTCTCATATAGAGAGGATAGTGTGCTGGCCGGGAATTTATATTGCACACAAGGCAAGCAAATCCACACAATGTCCCGAGGGTACCTGGTTTAATTTTTTTTTAAATACAAAGGGTTATTTTTTTCCACCCGGAGAATACCCGTTGATTGCTGAACCTTTAGGTGTTGGGTTAATAAATCATGAAGTATAAATTATTATAGCTGCCATCGATTCAAATGTAAGATCTCTATCATTGGCTATTGGATAGTGGGTGAAAATGAAATTCTCTAAACCAAAGTTGAGCTTTTGGTCGTCCACCAAAGCCCCCTGTGTAATTCCTTATTACCATTCGGTCTGGCCTTAGGGATTTGGCAGAGGGGAAATGAGGCAATGGGAATCACAGAATACCTGTTTAACTTGCTTCCCTAAACTCTGTCGGTTTAGGGTATATATTAGCTATGTAAATCATTTGACCAAAAAAATACAGACAAATTACCTTCCACGCGGTTAAACCACGTCGGTCGGACACGGATCAATAGGATATTGATCAGGAAGGCAGCGATGCAAGGCTGCTGGCTGTTTTTAATATTAATATTATTATTTTATTGTTGCGAAACAGACCAATACACAATTTTGCTATGTATACATCAAACGAACGTTGGACCGCACCGTCGCTGTCTTTATTGTTTTAAGGCACGTGCATAGAGATAAGAGTGTTTGGGTCGACGACAATCGCATTGATATTAAAAAAGAAATCATTTTTTTTTTAAATAATTATTATAATATTTAAGGAAAAAAAAATACATAACAGCCGACCCGAAGACGTTCGTGGGAACGCCTTTGACGGGAAACCGTGAACTTTTGTTAGTTGTTTATGTTGTCATAAGTCAACACCGTCGACAATAATACAATTTTCTACGCGCATATTATTACAGTAATAATAACAATTATTGTAAAAAACCAGTCTCGAGCTAAACAACAACAACTGATAACGGTGTGAGAAATCCCATGGTTGTCGTTTGATACAAAAAAAGAAACATATTGTATTTTTTTATATAGATACAGGATGATTCGTTGAGGAAATCTGTTAAGAGTCTTAGTAGTTAAGTCTTAGCATTTGTTTTCCAGAGCTCTGTCGAATTGTTGAAACTCAAACTGCAACTTGTTAAACTGACAATATAATTTACTGATAACCAGTTTTGGACAAGTTGTTTAAGTATAAAATATGTATGACTTGAGAAAGTACTGGAGTGTAGTATTATAATTTGTTTTTTTTTTTGCACACATTACTTCACCTGCCATCCTAAGTTTTAGACTTGAGTGACTTTCAATGCGTTTTCAGCAAATTATTACACTTGCCTTATTAAAAATATCAATATTGTATAGTATTGTAAGACTACACATAAACCCAGGTGTCTCGGAAAAGGAAAAAAAACCCTAAAAAATTGCAATAATTATTTTAAGAGAAACCCACTATATATTATTTTACACTTCTACCTTTAACGAACCGTCCTGTAATAGTTATTATTGTTATATTAACATAACATAACGGATAAAACGGGTTTCTTTAAATTTTGTAAATAATCAACCGTCTACATAATAATATATTATTCAACCGAACCGACTGGCCATTGTCACACACAACGGAGGAGCTAATAATATGGGAATGCAAAAGGGACATTTTTTTTTTTGGGTTAGGTAAAAAGAGTCACCTCGTTAAGTACACACCCGTTTTGAATGCCAGTTAATCGCTGCTATTCAACAATACAACGGTACAAAAGTGTTAAATGGTATTATCAGCAATGCTTGTACTTATTTGCAAGTCAGTGTTTTTTTTGTATTTAACAATTATAGTAAGCTGTGTTTGTCTGTGTAGTTCTGCAGTAAACCTAACCTAACCGACATCTTTCAAGACTTAAAGCCAGCCCTATTAATACCAGCCGCACCCTCTTATCGCACCTAACCTCACACAAACAGACCACATGGCCAAAAACATTGTACTTAGGTCAGGTCAGTGTGTATCAACTACTAATTGCAGAAAGGAATAATATGTCCCCATAAAATTAAATAAACCAATGTTACAGGTGACACGAAAAACCGTCCAGGCCAGACTGGGAAGACAACTAGGTGTAAAAATAAATGACTGACCTTATTATCTACTTAGGAAAAAAAAATCCTCTCGATATTTTTTGAAAAAATAAAAAAATCAACACCAGCGTGCAATTGGCAGCCATTTTGAATTGGTACATCGTTTAAAAAAGCAGATATTGTTATTGACATACAGTTTTTATTAATATTAAATTCCAGTTACTGGACTTCTGTCCTATCATAACAACATCAGCTCATCTGCATACTATTATTAGTGTAATATTAATATTATTTATGTGCGATTATATAATATACTACTCGATAACATCCTGTTGCATAAAATCTCAGTGTAATCGTCTCATAGGTGTTCAGGTTTAAAGCTCTTGTTCACTAAACCATACCATGGGCATCAAAACATTAAAACATAAAAAAGAAAATTGTAAAACCTAACCTAACCTAACATTAAATGTTCAAGTAAAATTGATAGGATCTATTCTATTTATTTTTATATGTTTTTTACACTCTGTTTTGTACTGGACGATTTAAATATTCATAGTGGCCATCAGTGCCTTAATAGTCGTGCTTTATTTATATTTTTGAACAATGTCTTTTTGTACAATTGGTTTATACTGATAACATGTTATTTTGACCATAATTTGTATGATTTTTTAGAAATCTCTATTATTTCCTATCATTTGCGTGGTATTACCAGTTTTAATTTTTTTAAATTTAAAAGAAATATTTTACCTGATTTTAAAAATCTAAAACTTTTGACTAATACCTAACAACTTTAAAGTTAGAATGGAATAAACATGAACACTTTTGGACTGCTATTGTCCCATCTTCCCCTACCCTAACTTATAGTTTTCTTGACAACTCATAGTGTGTGTGGCAATCCTAGTGTGTTTTCTGAATATTGCTGATTATTGTTTTTTTTTTTTTCGAAATAACATATTATACAATATTACCTACTCGAGTGTTATTTATAATAATGATGTTTACAACTATACAAGTTTTTTTTTACACTATACTTAAGCCCCACTAAGGATCCATATGATCTATGAATACAATAATATTATAGTCATGCCGTCTGCGGTCGGGCGTTAGCTCGGTCTATCTATATACACACACATACGGTATTGCCTTGCGCCGCGCGTTCGTGTGTGTATGTACACAGTAAACACACACACACACACACACATTGCGCTTACACACAGATAATATCATAGAACCGTGTGTCCGTGTGTCGTGTGTGTGTGTGTGTATCGCAAGTGTGTGTATTCCGCGCGTTCGTACGCGTCCGCCCCCACCTCCGACAGGCCCGAAGACGGTGAATGGCCATTACGCCGCGCCGACTGTGCGCCCGCCGCCGCCGTAGCCGTAGCCGTAGCCGCCGCCGCCGCAGCCGCCGCCGACTACGTCAGTCAGTCAGTCAGTCAGCCAGTCGGTGAGCCGTCCGTGCGTTCCATCGACCGTGCGCCGTTGTCGTCGTCCGTTGCGTGTCCGTATCGCGGTAAATTTGGCCGCGCGTTTACAAAAAAAAAAAAAAAAAACAATATTTTTTTTCTCTCCAAATTTACCACGACAAAACAAATAATTTAACGTTATAATAGTCGTCGTCGGGTTTTCTCTGTAAAACGATACCTATTTTATTTTTCTACATATTACTCTGCGTGTAGTCTAAACGGATTGCACGTGCCCGCGTATTTCGTTATAAAAAAAAAAAACGCATATATAGATATATATTTTTTTTTCGAATGTTGCCGTTCCGCCTTGTATAACCCGACGCGATAACGGTACACCGGAGCCCGCCCGGGCTCAATGCCCTCGTGCCTAGACCACCGTCGCCGACTCTGAGAGCCTTGCACAACATCATAATATTACAGCGGACATGACCAGCAGCAACAGCACCGCGGACGACGAGGACAGCCGCAGCCGGTAGTAATAACCCTTTCCGGTTTTCGGGGTTGTTTTTCTTCTTCAAATCATTTTCTTCGCCATGTCCACTTCCGGTGTGGTCGTCGTCGTCTAGCGGTGGCCGCTTTCTTCCGTGTCGTACACCCGCCGCCGCCGGTCATGTCTTCGCCATCCTCGTCGTCGCCGTACTACTACGGACACCACGGCGGCGGCGGAGGCGGCGGTGGCGGCGTTGGCGCGACCAACGCCGCCGGGGGCCTGTCCGACAGCGGCACGCAACTGCAGTGCTGTTCGCCGCCGCCGCAGCCGCCGGCCTCGGCCGGATCCAACGGAGCCCTGAGAAAAGGTAAACCACCCCCGAGTTGTCCAACGGTGTGAAAATTGGTCAAAAAACTTATTTTATAATCATTTATTAATAACGTTGTTGTGTCTTATGTTGTGCGTATTATTCAACTTTGCTTATCTCGTTTCCCGTTGGGTTTCCACGACGTTACGTTGGCCCGGGGAAGGGGACGCCGCTCTCCACTGTGTCGGAACTCTCTCCTCGATACCGCCCATTGCGTAACGCGGCGGTCGCGCGACACGTAATAGCGAAAGTTTCTCTAGGCGCCGCCTGGGCGGTTGATCAGCAAAAACAAACAAAAAACACCTGGGAAAATCCAAAAGAAAACCTCAAGACATCCTCGCCAGCACCTTACCGGACCCCTTTGAAAGTCCAGCGAGTCCCAGCCTATCGTTGGGGGTTTAAATGTAAAAAAAAAAAATGGGTTTTTTCGGTACATGTATACCGTGCATACTACCCACGGTTAGCTGTTTTTTTGCCCGAGAGAAAGTCTGTTGCGCAACCGCATCTCCTTCGCGCCGTTCTCTTTGGCGGTTGTTGCGTGTAAAACCGGTATGTTATCCGTCGCACAAGTCCACCGCCGCCGCTGCCGCCGTATATATTTATACTTGTTGAACGGCTGCAGCGTTTGCGAGCGGCCCACACGCCCATGAACCCCCCCCCCCCCACCGGAGCCCCAGAGCCCCAAAAAAACGCCCCAGGTGTAATGGTATAGAGGTGCTGGTCCAAAGGTCTCCAAACGTTTATCTCTCCCTCAAATCTTTTCCTTATCTCTTTTCACGCCTGTGCCCAGTGTCAGAGTCCAACCTGCGCGTCCAACTTGCATTTTGACATTCTCTATATAGCCTGTGTAACCTAACCTAACCTTTTTGGCGATGGAAAACGAACCGGCCGTGAGAGTGGCGGTCCACATCCCTTTGGTTAGGGCAAGCCAGTGTCTGTATTGTACCTTGGGGTCAGGGGACAGTTGTAAAAACGGTCCTTTTTCGTACGCACAACGCGTGTAACGGTAAAGGGCGAACCCTTTACCGTCTTGTTATTTGTCTTATTGTTGTTGCGACGAGGACCGGCCGCTAACCCGTGGCGTCTACCTGCCTCCTCCTACGCACAAATGTATAAATACCCTGCGTTGTCGGTTCGCGTGACACCTTGAAATCGTCGTGCCGTCGCCTTTGGCAGTGATTGGAAGATTAGATACGAGGGAAAATCACACGACGAGGGTACGAGGCTTTAGATTTTTGTTTGGGTCAGGCGTTTGCCCGCCTTTGTTTGTGCCACCTACACGGAGATTGGCAAACACCGGGCCTTTGACCGCCTGCTAATGATTCAAGTGAAAGCATTTTGACTTGTGGCAATTGCGAGTTCGCGTGACCGGCTTGCTGCCCAAAGTCAACTGCGAGGGCATTGCCGCACTCAAAACGCATTGGCATTATTAGCTTTAGACGGTTTTTATACACCTTTTGTCAGAAATCGGACATTGCAAACGTTACCAAGCCAAAATGATTCCAATGATTAATGTAATGTGACAATTAGATCCAGAAACAATATTTAATATCGTTCCAAATGGCATGGCTGTTAAGTCACACTACCAATCATTTGAACCACCTTTTACGGCAGAATATGATGAGTTCGACAGGTGTTGTTGTAGAAAACAAATCCCAACTGGGATGTGCAAATATATACACAATAATATGTTGTACAACGACCGAAAATAATGGATTTTCAAGACAATACAACGCAAAGGACGTCTACAGGAAACCGAACGGGCTGCGTTAATGGAAGAAGAGGATGCACACGTGTATTGAAACGGTTGTTCAATGGAAATCCCTGCGGATCGGTTTACACGGATATATGATAATCGTAGTGGGCGAATGCGGAATGGCTAAAATGAAGAATCCTGGCACCGTAGCATCGTCAACGGTGTCCATTGTTGCAAGGGTTGAGTTTCAAGCATGAAAAGTATTCCTTAACCCTAACCCAGCGCCCGGTGAGCTTCTCAAAGGTCGTCGATAACTCTACCGGCGCAAATTGGTGACAGTCAAGGCTAATTTAGCATCTGGCCAATCTAACGAGGCGGTTTATGATGGCAAGCCAGGAGGAACAACAACTAAAAAAAAAAAAAAACGGTGTCGATCCGTCAATTGTCTGGCGTCAACGATGCGCCGCTGTAAACCGATCCGACCGTCATGTTACACTCTGCTGTAGCTAAAAAATTTTACTCGACCGTCTTGGAACGGCTAACGGGATAACGGTACCGTGCCGAACAGCTGCTGCTGCTGCTGTTGCTGTTGCCGTCGGTCCAATAGAATATTGTATACCTATGTAGAAAATCTTAAACACACATATACCTAGTGTGTGTATTCACTCGCGCCCACACGTACCCACGGTCGAACCGTTAGGATTTATTGTGTGTGTGTGTCAGTGTTTTTTTTATTTTCCTGTCGGAATCGCCACGAGAAAGCAGCGAACCCGGACTCGCTCGTAAACTTATTATAGTATACACATAATTATCATATAACCGCACGCTTTACCCAAAACGGCATCGTTTACTTGCTAAATGTCCATACACAGTAGCTGTTAATAGGCAGTTTTTTTTGTTTGCAAAATCTCAATATACACCTTCGACAAGTACAAATTCTTTCACCGTGCGAAAAATGAATACTTCAATTGGGAAACATCGGATCTTTTTAGCCGAGCACCGCAAAAATGTATAAATAAATTAACATAACAATACAACAAAGTGTAAGTCCAACCCAAGGCAGGCAATACAATCTGGTCAAAGATCTGGCAAATTCGAATCAGACATAGGCACCTTCAAATAACGTTTTTTGAGAGAATTTCAAAAAGGCACAAACTCCAATAGCCAGGGAAAAAGGGAGGCGGCCCCCGTAGAGCGATCGGCGAGACAGTGTACGGTTTAGAAAATGAAAAATGCATTTTTTTTTTTACACTACTTTAATATTTTTTAGTATAGCCGCCTTCGTTTTTTAGTGTACTTAACTCCGGTGCCGCGGACGTCGCTTTCACTTCCCCTCGACCGACCACCGCCTTAGCATAATAATATAATACCTTGTTTTTGTTCGCCCCCTTTGGCAAACAAACGGTAATTTTCGATTCGATAACGCCGACCAATACGGTATTGCCGGGCGGACCGTAATAATTATCGCCGCCGTGGTCGTTATTTAACATTGAAAAACTGGTTGAAATCAAATATACAAATAAATTTAAAATTCAACCGAATAACCAGACAGAACATTGCTGTGGTCTATAGGTGTATCCGATCCGAGACGGAGGTTATGTAATAGGAAAGACAAAAAAAAAACTCACCTTAACGATAACCCTTTACAAAAACAAAACCAATCAAATCTGAATTACTTAAGCCAAAAATGAAAACGGTTGTGTTAGGTCGCGGTTATACCTTATCACCGGAAACGTCTAGTCTTTATTCGTTGCTGTGTCAAACGACAAAGGTACAAATGCCCACACATTAAGTATAAAATCTAGGCTAGACGAGCCGGCTTGGAAGTTAAATCGACTACTTAACAATTGAATAGTTTTGATTTTGAAATTTAAATTCAACGACAGCTGATACACGCTACCAACACTACTGCCACCATAAATATACATACTTCATACTTGTGGTCATGCTTAATAGGTAATGTTCTTGTGGTGGAATTTCTAAATAATAATTTTCATATTTCGTCGGTTTACACATACCGTTATTTATTACAAGACCCTCTTGACGATGATTAGAAAATAATAGAAATTTGTCTGCTCGGTCGTTGGTTTTTTTTTCTCTTTTTTGGGGGGAAAGTACCAAACCATGAAATCGGTTTTTCTCTCAAGTAGGCGCTGCCCACACACACACAGTGTCTTTAAGTATAGCAAACGCGTGCACGAGACCTTTGTCTGTGCCGGTCGGGTTAGGTTAGGTCAGGATTACTCCTGTTGGCCAAATTAAAAAACGATTTCGACTGTTTTTTTTTTTTTGTAGTGTAATTCGGTATCTATGTATATATAGCAGCAATTGTAGTAAAACTACTTAAACGGAAAAGTGAAAGCGGCGGCGACCGCGTAACTAGTCGAAAAGGAAACGCGGTGCTATAGTGGTAAAAAATATAACTGTACTCTCGTGGTGTTGAGAGTGATGTTAATTTTTTAGGAATATATTTTAGAAAACTACACAACATTACAACATACAGCTCGGCGGACCCTATGTACGCCTTATTTGACCAATGGGGGGGGGGGGGCGTGGACCGTGGGGCTCCCGGAAGGGTTTTTTTTTATCGACTTCGGGTGGATATGCAATAAAAAAACAATATATATATATATATATATAAAATTATATTACGATGCCGGACCGGAAAAAAGTTCACGGCGCGCCGTGGGTTATATAATATTCTAGTACACTGCGCAGTGTATACACCTCTCTCGTGTCTATCTATCTATCTATATATATTATACTTGTATGGTACATATATATATATATATCTGTGTTTATAGCCGTCATGTAATATGCGCCGAGATTAAGTCGTGTTAGAAAGCTGCGCTATACGCGATTTCACGTAATATAGGAAGAATAAAAATCAAATAAAATGCCATCGTGTGAGACGTTTTTCCACCAAAAAAAAAAAAAAAAATCTTACGTGACGGCCGCCGTAAAATATTTGTATACATTATACAAATTAGATGTAAATAATTGGGCAGGGATCATAGCTAAGAGACTGCACAGCAGCAGCAGCAGCTCCTATAAAATATAGCTGGAGCGAATATGTTATAATATTTATGCCTTCCGACACTTGTGACCGTGTCACGCACAAGGGTCGTCGGTCTCGGGTTTAACCCGAGCTTTTATTATTAAAAGAAAAAAAAAATAGAAAAAAAATACTCAAGTATACTGTACACAGCTCTTGTCGACCGAGCCGCCGACCTCTTGTGGTCGTCGAAGGTGGCGCCGCCTGGGGATTATTTTCAGGCAAGGGTTAAAGTGCTAAAGTGCCCGA